ACACATGAACTTGTATGTAACTCACATTTCATATATAACATAAAAACAAAAATATATGTTTAAAAAAAATATTATGATATAGTGATTAATAATTAAGGAGGTGAGGAGATAAATGAATAAAAGGGAATGCTATTCGTTTTCGTTTGTCATAAATTGAAAAGTGAGAAACAAGATGCCGGTGCTTTCAAAATTGAAAAGTAAGGAAACAAAATTACAAAATTAATATGATAGGCAATTTATTCTTTCCATTCCTAAATATGTGGAGCACATTAACTGCAACATCCGTTAATTAAACTACCAGTAAGGAATAATACGTAAATGCCCTCTAACGCCATATACTTCATTGCAGATCGCCATATATTTTGGAGGGTGAGGATTTGTTCTCACTTCTCACATTAAGGGGTGTTCTCATTTGAACCACAATATATATATATATATATATATATATATATATATATATATATATATATATATATATATATATATATATATATATATAGGTTCATGTGAGAACTTAATCTTAGGAGAGTAAAAAAGAGTAGATGTGAGCCATTGGATGAAACATCTATTTTAATTTCTAATAAATTTTCGTAAAGGGCAATTAGGTGATTTCTCCTAATACTTAATGGGCTCCGTTTCTTTCCAAAACGGTCACCCATAATTCTCTCTCTCTCATCTTTACCATTTTACATGACTCCATTTATTTTATTTTCAATTTCTCTTTTGCACACGTTTGGTTCGTCATCTTCATAAATTATTTCTTTTTTACTTCAATTGTCCAATGGACATAAGAAATTACAACTTTCCATTCACCGTTATTGAAGTTTATGTACGACACTTAATTTAATTTTATTTATTTATTTTTGTTTTGTTTTCTATTAGGTGCGATTTGACTAGTTTTGTATAGCTTTTTAATGTATTTATTGGTATAATGATTCAATCTCTATACGTGTACTCTTTATAGTGAGATCCAAAGGATAGAACCATCACCATAGAGAAGTGGAAAACTTGCATTTTATTTTGTAAAAATAAATCAATTAGAATTTTAGAAATTGATCGAGATGCAATAGTGCACTTCTTTTTATAGATTTAAAGTGCACTTATTGGTTGTTACTTGATAACCTGCTCTTCATTTTCAATTTTATTTCAAGATAAAATTTACGAAACTGCACTAGTAATGAGTAAGTTAATGTATTAAAAGTGCATCTTAATGAGATAAAAAGTGATAGTTACAAAAGTGCAACTTAATTTATTAAAATGTGCACAAATACTGAAATAAAAAATATTAAACGAGATTAACCATACAAGTTGCACATATACCTGTTAAAAGTGCATAAGAATTCAATTAAAGTGCTTCAATAAGTATAAAAGATATAAAGTATAGAAGTGCACAAATGCATGAAAAAGATACTCCCTCCGGTTTTTAATAAACTTCACAGTTTCCTTTTTGGGACGGTCTAAAATAAACTTCACACTTCCTTATTTCCTTTTTTGGCAAAGAAATCTACATCAAAACAGTGCCAAACAGTGCCAAACAGTGTCTCAACAGTGCCAAACAGTGTCTCTACAGTGCCAAACAGTGTCAAACAGTGCCTCAACAGTGTACTCTACAGTAAAGTCAAATTTTTTTCCTTATTTTGTGTGAAGTCAAACTGTGAAGATTAAAAAAAACCGGAGGTAGTATATATTAATGAATAGACAATGCATGTTAATGAGATAAAACGTGCAATATATATTGACTATCGTATAAAAGTGCACTTAAGAACGTAAACAATTGAGGTTCATTAATATATTAATCTAATGTGCACATATCTACTAAATCAAATGCACACAGTATAAAACAAATCTCTTGTGCATATTATTCAATAGTATTATCACTTTTCAAATTATTCGTTGCAATATATCTATTTTCACATGCACTATTAAGTCTGCACATATGTATTATATGTTATGCACGTTACATATTATAAATAAATAAATTTTTGTATGTAGTAATCAATACATTGCACTTTCATGTATTATTTTCAATATTTTAGGTCATTAATGCACTTACCTTATTCTCCAACATTGAGATTGTAATCAATATGGAAACAACTAAATAATCCGGATGAACGTAACAAATAAATCCCATGCAGTATTACCCTTTAGCCCTTACGTATTTATTAGAGTGAAGCCTTTCCTTTTAAAATTCATCCACTATACCGTAATAAGTGGATGGAAGTTTTAATTCCACTCCAACCGTGGCCATCAGATCAAATAAATCTTTGGTGAAGTTTTATTCTTTTTTACTCTCCTAAGAGGGTGTTCTCACATGAACTAACCCCTATATATATATATATATATATATATATATATATATATATATATATATATATATATATATATATATATATATATATATATATATTTTATATAAAGAGCCCAACTTTCCATATTATAAATTAAAAGAAAAGAACCCATGTTACGAGAATCTGTTTGAATATAAAATACTTCGTATCTATTTGTGCGAAAGAAACTCAATATAGAACATTCGTATATCAATTATCAAATATCAAATACCAGTACATCGACAATCTAAGAAGTTGAGATAAAGATGAAGAACTAAAGAGAAGAATACCCCAGGTGAAGACGACGGCAGATAACGATGAAAGGCGGATTGACTTCGAAATACTGAAGGGTAGGAATTGTCAAACACGGATTGTACAAACAATCCAATTTGGGGTGTTGAAAAAGCTACCTATTCAAGTGTTGAAAGGTTTTTATTAACACTTTCAAACACTTACTAGCACTTTATACTTTTGAAATTTCTCTCCCAAACAAGTGTGGAAACCAACATTTCTTAACACTTCCATTCCTTAACACTTCCAGTACTAACATTCTTCATTGCTCAATCCAACTCAATCCAAACAGGTTGTTCCAACGGGCATGAACCTCAGGGACGGAGCAACATCTCGCACATCGCAGCTCCTTCGCGCAAAGAGAAGTCATAGCAGCGTCCATCTCCTCCGTGCACAGAGCCGTTAGGCCGCCGCTTCCTCCGCTGCCTTGGCCGTCTCCATCGCCCGTCCATGCCTTGGTCGTCTCCTATCGCCATCGACCACGCCGGGCATCATCGATCTTCTCCTTCCGTTTCCATATCCATACCCACGCCAATCTTCTTCTCCTTCTTCGGTTTATTCGGAAAGTGGTGCAAACTCAAATGTTAACGTCGATTATTCGAAAAGTGGTACAAACTCAAAATTTAGTGGAAATTACCGGACAGTCTACTTTCGTCTACCTTATATTATATAAAGTCCACCTACTTTTTCTTTTCATTTTTAAATCTTAAATTTTCAATTTAGTTTTCTAAAAAAACTAATGACAACTTGACAAGGGTCTACTGATCTACGGAGGATTAGTTACCGTATATAGGCTTAAGGTCTAGTGTTGAAAAGAAAAAATTCGCTGTTATATTTTTGAAAGAAACTTTAAAATTTGAAAAAAGTGATATTATTTCCTTTTTTTTGCCTATTTGTTATAAATTCCCGTTTAAGGTACACATGAGGTACAAAGTCTTGCTCCAATATTCATTTCACTTCACACCCACTTCAAGTGCTAATCAAAGAAAACAAAAACAGATGGCTTACATTAAGGGTGGATCCGGTGTAGCAATCTGGCCCGATCCTAAACCAGTCTGGTACTGTTTTGGACCAGACCGGGTACCCGACCTGGCAACCAGCAGGCCCAGTCCCGGGTATGAAATTTGGGAGCCTGAACAGGCGGTCCTGGGCCCAGTTCCGATCCCAACGGCTAGTTCAATTTTTTTAAGGGGAAAATAATTTAAATATCTCAAACTTTGAATGAGTTTGAGATAAATGCTCCAAACTTGCACATGTAATATATATACTCCAAACTTTAAATTGTACCGGATCATATAGTTTTTCACAAATATAATTTTATGGTATTAAGTACATAATTTAAAATACACAAAACGTTTATGAGAATGCAGTTGAAATTAAATTGTACCAGATGCTGCAGCAATTTCATATCTGACCTCTTCCACATGTTAGTTATGACACTCATTGCATCCTGGACACCTTTAATGGCTTCCCTTACAGCATTTTCATAATCCACACCAGCCTCCGCCTCTTCCGTTCCCGAAGCTTCAGTAATAGTCTGGAATTCTAGATATGTACCGCTGGCTTGTTAGATCTACAATTTTCATGGCTCACTAGCCATTCTTAGGGCATCCGTCATTTGCAAATTGCAATGGAGCCAAAGATTCATTATTTTTTGACTTGAGAATATGATGGAATAAAGCAAAATGGCTCACTAAACTGTCTACGCTTCTTTGTTATGAAGTAACAGTCAGTCCATACAATTTTGGACGTGATTTTCACTATGGGTCATCCGGAAACCGTCTCTCTGTGCTTTAGTACAGGGGTAAGACTGCGCACATCTGGCCCCCCCTTACCCCACCATAGGTGGGAGCCTTCAGGTAAATGAAAATGATGATGACTAGCCGTTCTTAGGGTTGGACCAGTTCCGGGCCGGGCCCGGTTCGGGCCTTGAACCGGCCGGGCCTCGATTCACCAAAAGGAGGGCCCGGACCCGAACCCGAACCGGTGGCTCCCGATTCCGGGCCGGGCCACCCGGGTCATAATTTTTTTTTGCTTCTCTTATTTAACCCCCTATCCCTCCCCCTCAACCCCAAACGGCCAAACCACCTCAAATGGCCCAAAATACCTAATCCAACCCAAAACATAAAAAAAATTAAAAAAAAAACAATAAAAATTAATTCCGGCCCGAACCGGCATCCACCGGGCCGGTTCACCAAATGGAGGGCCCGGGCCCAGAACCGGTATCCACCGGGCCGGTTCGACCCGAACCGCCGTTGGACCGGCCCACCAGGCCGGGCCGGTTGCTACAGTGGCCGGGCCGGGCCGGGCCGGTTCCGGGTCGGCCCGCCCGGCCCGAGTCCATCCCTAGCCGTTCTGAGGGACGTCCAGTTTTTTTTAACACCGAATAGGGATTGGTGCAGAACTGCAGACTCAAATTTTAACGTCCATTATTCGGAAAGTGGTACAAACTCAAATTTTAACGGACACATGAGCTATACAGTCTATTGCCCGCATATTCATTTCACTTTAAATCCACTACAAGTGCTAATCAAAGAAAACAAAAACAGATAGTCTCTTCACGGCTGGCTTAGACAGGAATTGATTGATGTATGCTGATGTACAATTGTACTGTGTACCCCATTGCGAGAATCTAAAGTCTAGTCAGCCCGAATTACGAATCTTCAAGTGCTGCAGCTATTTCATATCTGACCTCTTCCACATGTTCATTTATGACAGTCACTGCATCCTGGACACCTTTAATGGCTTCCCTTAAAGCATTTTCATAATCCGCATCAGCCTCTGCCTCTTCAGTTCCCGAAGCTTCAGTAATAGTCTGGATATGTACACATTCATGCCCCACTGGCTTACCGAATCTACAATTTTCATGGCTCACTAGTCGCTCTGAGGGACGTCCAGTTTTTTTTAACACTTGAATAGTGGCTGTCTGTGAAACATTAGGAGCACCACTGTGATAAAAGCCAGCTCCCAAAAGAAAATGAAAGATTCCAAAATTGGTTCAAGGGCGTTGGAAATTATTCAAGCAACTTTCTAGATATGGCTTTTTCTAGATATCAGACAAATCCAGACACATTTGGGCATATTTCTAGATTTGGCTATTGACAAGGTTACACTTAAAACTAGAAACACTGATAACAACTCAAAACTGCAGGCAAAAGAACAAAGAAGCAAATAAGTTGCACCTTCCATCCCTAAAAGATGGTTTCAGGTTTGTGTTTTTCTTTATGCTCTATCCCTAAAAAAAGTTCCTGATTTCCTTTTCGGGCTGCCCTAAATAAAGTTATCTTTCCTTACTTTGAGTAAAAGTCTTACGTTACTTTGCTACAATTAATTATTCCAAACAACATTAAACAAGGGCATTCTTGGGAGTCAAACACAGAACGTTTGATTCAATAAAGTAGGAACGTCTTTAAGTGATGGGGTCCAGGAGGGAATAATAACCTTTCTACTTGAAGCTGAAAATCTAAGATGAGTCAATCTCTGATTGGTGGGGCTTGGGTGTACACAATGTTTGAAATTGCGTATTGCGGAGTTGAGACATTTTTTTCCCAAGGCATATTGCATAAGCCTCATTGCGCATTGAGGCGTAAGGCTAAGGAGTAAATCTTAATGCAGAGGAAAAATTTTATATAAAAATTTATAACTAATATGAAATAAAAAATCATTCAAAATAACACAATAATGTCAAAATAGAAATTGTTTAATTTAAAATTCAAAGTTTTTTTATGGATGAATGCAAAAGAGAATTGCTAACATTATGATTTGACACACTGGCTTGGGGTATTTCAAGTATTGACAGGGCGATGTGGTTTGTAAACGAAAGTGACGTGTGCTGCCATGACAGCTTGAGGATAAAAGAGCAAAGGATGGAGCTTGGGGATTTTGTGGAGCCTTCCGCTTAAGAAACCTCCTGGCATTCTTTTTGATTCATTGCTTGATTACTTAAACAGAGAAATCCCATTTATATAGATAGGGGTGGTGTACAAGGTTAAACGCATGCTAACATGAAAAGGGAATAAACCACACATAAAAATGACAGGAAAAGGAAAGAAGGATTAATCAGCTAGTCGATCGATCTATGTAATTAGAATTCAGTCATACAAGACCCTTGATTTAATACCTTATTTAAGTCTGCCCATATATACTTATAATATGGCACTAAATCCTCATTTTTTAAAGATGTTCATTCCTTGATTTGTTGTTTGTGGATTATAGGCCTTATAGCAATTAGCATAAGGACTTAAAAAACTAGTAGTATAAGGAGATACTTTTATATCATAAAAATACAATGAAGACAGTGCCCATGTGAGAGATTGATAACAAAATTTTCATGATGCATGTAAGGAGAATAATGGAAATCCTTTTTAAAAACTATTCTTACACCATAAAGAAGGGTATTCGAAGGCACAAACAGTGATTGCCATGTGTTGCCATTAGCATTTTAAGAGTACACCATCACAAAACCTCTCCTGTGACCAGAATACCTAGGCGACACCATTTTGGTGCCATTGCATAGCTTGCGCCATATTGTAGACAGCTCTTTTTAATCGGCCCATGTTTGAGACGGGTTTTTTTATAAATAGGCTCATATTAATTAGAATCTTGGGCTCTTGGCCCTAATTAATAATTGGACAGTTAAGGCTCCCACAAGGCCCACAATTTGGATTTAATGAAAAAATCTAATAGGCTAACTCCCAACCGAGCCATATTATCAGCAACCAAGGCTCAAGAAAGAACTAACGGCCAATACTGAAAGAATCATGGCACATACAAAAGAACAAGAGATCACCAATAAACCATGGTGATCTGAAAGAACAAAACTTATGGTTATTGAGTTGGTTAAGCGTGTTTGATTAGGATATTTTTTATTTGGACTTGGTTATTTCACTTTTTTATTGGTGATTAAAGCACAGAACTATATCGTCTATAGCTCATATTTATACTTGCTATTTTTTGTGTATCGTGGCAACGCCATAAATATAGCCACGACCAGCACAAACTGCCTTGGCGCCATGATGGTCATCATATGCCATGTCAACTATGCAAAAAAAAAGATTGAAAAAGATATCCAAAACATCTGATGCCCCTCTTCCCAAAGTTTCGACTGGATACAGTCCCAACCCTAGCGGGCCACTCCTGCCTATTGATTTATGTATGAAAGTATTTATGGAGTATGTATGGCTTTGTACTTTGTATCTCAAGCAGCTGATCAAATTCATATTTCTATAAAGAAGCCACTAAACCAAAATCAAGATAATATGCCCTCGATGACATATTCTGTGTAAGCATAAGCTGTGATAAACAGTATGATACCATTGAACTATCTACATACAAAAAAGACATATACTCCGTATTTCATGCAAACAATGAAGTGATGAAAAAATGAAAACATACCAAATGTAACTTCTTCTTCTCTTGTGCTTGAACTGATCTTAATATTGCGGCTAAATCCTCTCTGAAGTAATTGGGACAGAGAAGTTGTGACTCAATTTCAAGGACCTAAACCAGTCAAGAAGCACCAATTTCAGACACAGAGAATCCAGAATTTTGGGGGGCAAGTAGCCCATAACAGAAAAGTAGAAAATAACAGAACAGTGGATATAATATGCTCCATACGACTGTACTAGTAACTGACTGACTTGCTTTGAACAATCATTGAATTCGACTGCGATCTGTGTACAGAGTTGCTGGTAAGTCGACTCGACTCCAGAAACCATATAATCGTCAAACCCCCTGTTGAAGCAGAAATAGAACATGCATTGAATAATTCTAACTAAATAACAAATTGAAATCAAACATAACGTATCGCCTGAGATCATGCGCATGCATAAAGTTACATAAAACACACGAGAGCGCATCCGGCACCTCTTAAGCCTAGTATAGGATTGGGCTCTGCGTTGCTGCAAGGCCAGAAATAGGCGAAGCAACATAACTATCGAAGGGGGGCCGGTCTCACCCTCATAGCCGCCACTGCCATCCAGAATTTCGTCCATTTCGTCACAAATAGCAACCTTTCTCTCGAATTCTGCTTCGTTGTTCATTAGGTTTTGTGGTAGGTCGATTGTACAACCATTTTTTCGTAAATAAATACCTGACGGGCCCCCATTATTCAATGGGGAGAAATTATTATTAGCTGAGGTTACATAATCTTGCATTTTCACTATATTAAATTCAATGAAAGTAAGTCGTATATAAAATATAAAATTAATTTTTAAAACATAATACAATTTATTATCATAATTATAAGTCATTGTTGATCATCATGTGTTTTTCTACTTAACTACTCGATCATGTAGTAATTATTAATGAGAGTAGTTAAGGATAAGACTCACGAGTAATATTCATGAGATATATAATAAGAATTGTTTATAAAATGTGTTATTAAAATTGTGCGCACTTCTTCATTATAAATATAAAGTCCTATTTGTAATTCTTTTGGTTGAATTAAACCGCAATGACATTTCTTTCGTGTTTAGAAAAGAAGAAATACCAAGATTTTTATCATTCCATGACCTAAATTATAGGTTTAGTATCAATAAGGGACCTCAAAGACAAAATGTGTGATTTGTTTATTATTCCAATTATTTCATGATCTGAATAATTGAAAGCTATCAATCTAAGACCTAAAACATCTTAGATTTTAATTTACATAAAAAATTTATTAACTATGTTACTAATTTGTGATGATTTTATCTTCACAAGAGTTCTTTTTGTTCTCAGACTTAACGAAGTCACAGACACACAAATCAGATCTCAATACTTCAAACATGCAGTTAACGCAATATAGAAAGTAAAAGACACACGATATGTTGACGCAGTTCGGAAGATAACTTCCTAATCTGCGGGGTTTCAACAGGGGAAACCTGGTCCCAAACAGATCCACTAGCTCAGAAAGGTTTTTACAATCAAGATGGTTGCAAAGCAATTAAACACAGACCAGAAAACTACAAACAATCAATCGACAAACGACTCACGACGATTAAAAACAAAGAAAGTTCAGAGTTAACCGAAGTCGAATCCAATCGAGGATTCGAAGGCAGAAGAAGACTCCTGGATGAACCAGCAGACAGCTCCGAAATACATGCTTCCTCCTTTCTCACAATCGTCACAAGAAGATGGCTTCGATCTCAGCAGATTTCAAATCTCACAGACTCTCTCTCAAGGGTTTCTCTTTCTAGGTTATCAAAGTATGCAGCCGATGGATCCAGAGAGAAGGACACCGGATATATTTATCCTTCCAACTCGGGTAGATAGGCTAACTAAAATACTGGACCCAATAACAGGCCCAATACAAAAGTATAAACCGGACATGCCCATAATAACAACCCAAACAACCCTTACAAGATATTACCCAAGAAAAAATAAAGTCCAAGTCTAATTGCTTTGTCATTCTATCTTAATTGTAAATGAAAGAACATATGAGAGAATTAGGATTAAATAATATCCCAACAATTTGCCCTCCTAAGACTCATTCTCATTCCAGAATCTCCAAAAGGAGCATCATCATAGCTAGTTTGCAGGATCTGTGAGACATGAATTTCCCCATTCATCATCAACCTAGTTTGGAACCTTTCATCAAGGTACCTCAAAGATTTTGAAGAAGCTCCTGCAAAAAAGAAATTTATCAGTAGGGACAATTTTAGTTCCAAAGTCAGCAGGATTTACATCCCCAGAAATCTTTTCAACATTAATATTACCCTTGGCAATTTCATCTCTTATGTAATGAAACCGTACATCTATATGTTTGGTCTTCTCATGATACATAGGATCTTTGCAAAGGTAAATAGCACTTTGACTGTCAGAAAAAACAACAGGGACAAGACAGTTTCCTAGAACCTCACCCAAAATACCTTTAAGCCATTTGGCTTCTTTAATGGCTTCAGTGGCAGCAACATATTCAGCCTCAGTAGAGGACAAAGCCACAACAGATTGCAATTGGGATTTCCAAGAGATACAGTTCCCAGCCCAGGTAAAGAACCAGGAAGTCGTAGACTTTCTGGTATCTTTACAACCAGCATAATAAGCATCAACAAATCCTTTAAGGTCTAAAGATGAGCTAGAACTATACTTAAGACCTAGGTTTTTAGTTCCAGAAAGATACCTAAGAGTAAACTTCATAGCAGTCCAATGTCTTTCCCTAGGGTCAGACATGAATCTGCTAAGAACACTCACAGCAAAGGCAAGGTCTGGTCCGGTACAAAGCATAGCATACATCAAAGAGTCTGAAGCAACATCATAAGGGATTTTATCCAATTTCTTAGATTCCTCCAAAGAAACAGGATAAGGATCCCTATGAAGATCCAAATGCCCTCCTAAGGGTATAGAAGTGCATTTAGAACCATGCATGTTAAACCTATCCAAAATTTTTGACAAATAATTGCTTTGAGATAAGAATATGCACTTTTCAGGTCTATTTCTGTTTATGTCAATCCCCGAAATTCTTTTAGCATGTCCTATATCTTTCATATCAAAATGTGTTTTTAGATCATCTTTCACACTTCAACCAACATTTTGCACAGACCAATAATGAGGATATCATCAACATATAACAGAATGTACACAACATTATCAGTATCAACATGCTTGAAATACAAACAAGTATCATATTTGCTTTTAAGAAAACCAAGTTCACTCATGCAAGCATCAAATTTCAAGTTCCATTGTCTGGGAGACTATTTTAAACCATAGATTGATTTTCTTAACAAGCAAACATGATCAGGATTCTTTTTACTCTCATATCCAGGAGGTTGAGACATGTAAATAGTTTCATTTATATCTCCATGCAAGAAAGCAGTCTTAACATCCATTTGTTCCAATTCCCAGACAAACACTGCAGTCATAGCAAGCAAAAGTCTCAAGGTTTTGAATTTGATTACAGGAGCAAAAATATCTTGGTAATCAATCCCTTTCTTTTGTTTAAAACCCTTAGCAACAAGCCTAACTTTATACTTAGGGGGATCTGTGGGATCAAGACTATCTTTTATCCTATAAATCCATCTACAATCAATGACCTTAGCACCTATGGGTTTAGGGACCAAAGTCCAGGTTTGATTAACCATCATAGATTGCAATTCTTCTTGCATTGCTTTAACCCATTCATTTGACTTAGAACTCTTCATGGCTTGCTCAAAAGTTTCAGGAACATTATTTTTAACAATTTCAGAAGCTATGAAGATAAACTCAGCTAGGTTAGAAATATATTTCCTATTAGGAATTATATTTCTAGGTTCTCTGTCCCTAACAAGTTGATAATCAGCTAAGTTTGGTTCTTCATTTCCATTAGAGGCACTTCCATTAGGATCGGTTTCATCAGTATTAGCATTTACATCAGACAAAAAAGGTATATCATGCAAATTACTCAAATTTTCAAGTAAGGGTAAGGTACTACCTTGCTGATTTGAATCACTATTTAGCTGTGCATTACCTTCTGATGAATCATCTTGGTCAGATTCAGACAAAGAATGATCATCATTACCTTCATGGAATCCTCGAATATGAGATTCATTTTCAGACAGATACTCAGTGCTCATTGTATCAAAAAAGTCACCATCAGATTCACCTGTCATTTCACTAGACGAAGCATTAATATTTTTAAAATGAAATTCAGCTTCATTAAAGATAACATCTCTAGAGACAATACATTTATAACCTCCAGGTTGAATCACAAGGAGTTTATAACCTTTCACACCTTCTGGATAACCAATCATAACACACTTAATAGCCCTAGGTTCTAATTTACCTTGAGAGATATGAGCATATGCAGTACAACCAAAGGGCCTTAAATGAGTTATGTTTGGTTTAACTCCAGACCACATCTCTTGGGGGGTTTTGAAGCCCACCACAGAAGATGGTGATCTTTTGATCAAGTAAGTAGCTGTTACAACAGCTTCACCCCACATAGAATTCTTAAGACCAGATTCAATTAACATGCATCTAGCCTTTTCAAGAATAGTTCTGTTCATTCTTTCAGCAGTCCCATTCTGCTGTGGGGTGCCAGGGACAGTTAAAAGTCTTTTAACACCTTCAGTTTTACAGAAATTATTGAAAACATGGTTGCAAAATCCAAGACCATTATCAGTTTTCAAAGATTTCAGTTTAAAGTTGGATTGAGACTCAACAAGCCTTTTCCAGATTTTAAAACTGTCAAAAGTTTCATCTTTTGTTTTCAGTAAATAAACCCAGACTTTTCCTAGAAAAATGGTCAATTAGGGATAGAAAATATTTCCTTCCTCCTAATGTTCCAATTTTAGAAGGCCCCCATAGGTCAGCATGGACCAGATCAAGAGGTTGATTTGCAGTATAGGTCGATTTACCAAAGGAATGTCTAGTTTTCTTTCCAAAAATACAGTTTTCGCAAAAATCAATTTGGCTAGGTTTAAAGTCAATCATTCCATTTTTAAACAGTTTATTCAGGCCCACATTACCAATGTGACTAAGCCTTCTATGCCACATTTCAGTTTGTTTTTGAATAGTAATGTTAGACTCAGGGGCAGCTATATTTAGTTCGGAGGAACCTTCAACAATGTACAGACCTCCACTTTTAACAGCTTTGATAAGATGATTTCCATTTCTGGAAACCATCTTAATGCCAACCTGAGTAACAATACTACAGTCTAACTCATCAAAAATAGATTCAGACAGCAAGTTTCTTCTCAAATAAGGAACCCATCTCACATTTTGAATAACCCTAACAACTCCATCGAACATCCTTACACTACTAGAAAAAATGTTATTTGCTGCGGTTAATTTCACCTATTTGCTGCGGTTTTGAACCGCAGCAATTGAAGGGGCAGCAATTAGTATAATTCTCTATTCGCTGCGGTCAATAACCGCAGCAAAAAATTACTCTACATTAAAAAAAAAACTTATTGCTGCGGGCCTTAGTAACCGCAGCAAATACTCTTCAGATTTCTTGTTTAGAGCTTCGGCAGTTCCGCTTAGTTATTATTATACGGAGTAACTTATAAAGGCAGCAATTGTGATAATATCTATTTGAGTAATTGCAGCCTTTTCTACTACTAATCCAAATGCACTATTAAATATTTAATACATCCAAATAAGTCATGTACGGTTGCTCTACAAACCACCAAAACCAACCAATAT